CATCGATTATCTCTTTGAGGATCTTACCCTCTATTTCGGAACAAAGAAGGCCAAGGGCAGGGACTACATCCTCGGTGTTCACCAACAAGTCACGATTCTTGGGAATCGTGATAGTCCTCGTAGACCCCTCCAAACTTACCTCAAGCTAGGTAAGCCCCCCTTCCATCATCCTCAGGTCGTCCGCATCAACGTTGGAACCCGATTCATCGCCCTCCTCAATAATGCTTTTGCCCCTCTCATTGGTCGGCAAGGAGATATCTACAGTTGTTCAAGAAGTTGATGCCTCCTCTCGCCGCAAGTGTTAAGAACATCAGCAGCCATCTCTTCAGTTTCCATCACCGTAGAAGGGAGAGACACATCCACATCATCTCTCATCGACCTCAGAACCTCGNCCGGCGCATCAACGGTCCGGGTGACTCCGTCGCCAACATCCACAGACATCCTCTTTCGAGGCAGGAGATCTCCATCACTAGACAAAGGTTCATCGTCCTCATCAATGAGAAATTATATAGGAGAAGCTGAAGTCTCCACGGCTGAAGCAGGAACAAATTCGGACACGGTGACAGAGGAAACTGGAACGAAGATAGGATCAATCGCGATCGAAACAGGGGCAGAAATTGAGGGCGTATTAGCCTTCCTCTTTTGGAACGAGGGTGTGTGAGCTCTCGACTTCCTCGTAGACCCCCTGGTCGAAGCGAGAGAAAAAAAGGAAAAGGGAAAATCAGCGAAGGAAAATGAGCAAAGAAATCAAGATGCTAATAGTGAAAAGGAAATTACCAGTCGAAGGGAGAGCATGCCCGAATTTCTTGAAAAAACTTGTCCATTCACGAATCCCGACGAAGTGAGGGAGTATCCGCTCGACCCAGTCAGAAATATGAGCGTCCAAAGGATGAGGCGAAGTCTTGGTTCTAAAAGAAGAAGGTGAGAAGTCAAAATTTAGGACCGAACATGGGGGGAAAACCAAAGTATTTACGAGTGTAATTCCAAGCCTCAGGAAAACCGCTGACATTGGCCACAACGTCCTCGGGTCTGACAAAAAAGAAGTTAAACGAGAATTGACGACTTGCATTGTCATCCATCTTCACCACTAAGCATTTTCCCCCTCGGTGGCGAAGGTTTAACATCGTTCCTCTATAAAAGCTATGAGCGAATAGATGAATTAAGTGTCGCAGTGTCAGTTCGACCCCAGTCAACTCAGCAAACTTAGTAAGAATCTTTATAGCTTTATAAACGTACGACGTGAGCTGAGCAGGACAAACGCCATAGTGACGACAGAACTCTTCCACCAGCGGAAGGAGGGGAAAGAAATAGACGACTTGGAATGGGTAGGCGTAGAGGGCGCAATACCCAGGACGGTGGACATGTATCGTATCCCCCTTGGCCGGGATCAACTCGATATGATTGGGAAGGCCTAATTTAGCCTTAAGATCCGCCAATTCCTTCACCGTCATTACTGACCGAAAATCTCTAGGTATGGCCTTTGGTGATTTGGTGAAATCTGATTTGGAATCAGGGTTGCGTGGGATTATCTCCTCAGCCGACGGGAAATTTTCCTCCTCAATGGTGGCAGGAACGCTCTCCCCAAGAGAGAAGAACACCACTGCCAAGAGAGAAACACGACTCCCCTCTCCCATCTCAGAAGGTACGTTAGACATGATTCAACATAAGGAAGGAGAATAACAAACGAGAGGGAATGAAGAACAATGTAAGTCGCCGAAATAGAGAAGAGAAATTTAGAGAAGAAGAGAGCAAGAGAAAAGTATGGGATTTTGAAGCGTTAGAAGATTTAAAACTCCAAAATTGTGTTCAAAGACCTCTATTTATAAAGGTCATGGCACCGAAACCGAAAATGGTTCATCGTGATTGGCACCGGAACAGAAGTGGCAGGTCTAATCAAAGGTCACACATGAAATAAAATGACACATCGGGAATATGCGGCATAATAACGCATGACATCATGATGGCATCCTAACTCATGGACGGCCTAACTCCAGCAAATCGCTCGGGAAATTCGAAGCAGTTGAAATATGTGGACCACAGAGGGCCACGTTTTGTGCTTGCCGCAATAACCACGACCTACGTAGTCTGCTTGATTAATTCGACCACCAACAACACGATCCGCTCATCGAACTCGTCCGCGAAGCCGGCCTCAATAAGCGGAGGGACTAACTGCATGGGTTAAAATATATCTCTAGAATACAAGTCAAAATGATATCGGTAAAGCATCTCAAGTCGAAGTGATCAAATCAACAATGAAGGTCGTAGTCGAAGAGGGAGCAAAGATCGACGTCGAGGAGTTGTCAATAATCGATGCCGAGATCGCATGCCCTTGATAGAGTTATAATGGTTGGCTTTAAGATAGGACCTGAAGGAGAACATTCTCTGCACTTGTACTATTAGGGTTTCTAGAAACATGTTCCCTATAAAAAGAAAGAGACACAATGATAGGGGGACATATGACATTTATTTGTAAAATACACTTTAAAAGAGAGAATCAGATTTTATTGCACGCATACAAAAATAACCTTTACACTAAGATTCTTGTCCACACTTTTCCACTGGATCCGGGAATAGCTCAGATATTCAAAGGCTCATCCATCACACATCATTGTCAGAAAGAACATTCACTGATTCCATCCTTTCTTGTGTGACTCATTCATTCTATTTACATAAGTGTCATTTATTGTTGTTCATCACTATTTGATGTTTCATTATTTCCTTTGACTTCTTAAATGTTGATTGTGTGCCGCCGTTGCTATTGAAGAATATATATATATATATATATATATATATATACATATGTTTATTGCACTTGCGAGAATTTTATTTTTGGGATATTATTGTTAACTAAGATTAACCTTTATTTGTATAAATTTAATTAGTTGAACCAAGATCTATATTTTTTTGTCAAACATATATGTGTTATGAATGCCTCACCGTTGCCATTATTTCCTTGCCTAACTTTATTTAGTTTTATAATTACTACGACCTTATTAGTTAATTATAGAGGCTGTATGTCTAGTTTTAAGTGGATATTTATTCAGTTAAATATTCGATTCAATGCGATCAACACTCTGTCCGTCCAAAATTATTTGACATTGTTTGCTTATTGATGTCAAGTGTCAATTTGATCAAATTTTGAAGCTAAATTATTATTGAATATTTTAATTCTTGCATCCTTTCCTTATTGAAATCTCCTTTGATACAATGGAGTGTACTTAATGTCATGGCTTGACTCCTTATGTCAGTGTCAAACAAAATAACTCGTACAATGCTCGCAGTCTCACCTAATTACAAATCAACCTTCTCTTATCTGATATTTCATGGCACGACCATGTGCTCATGGTGAAGCTGCCGCCGAGATTTTAACTTCAATTATGTCGCCCCTTTCATTTTAAGGCTTCAACTTTAATTAATTACATAGCATACTCTTGTAGCTCATTTCTTATGTTGTGTCTTGTCTATGGCACACAAGGGCAAGGCCGGCTCTAACAATATGGTGGGTAAGGCATGTGCCTTGGGCCCCCAATTTTGAGGAGGCCCATTTTTCAGAAATAATATATATTTTATAGGTATTTAAAAAAATAATATATAATAATACTTTGTGTTTTCCATGTAAATGGAAAGAAAACCTTTTAGAGTAAATAAAATAAAAATTTGACTTACTTAAAAATGATAGATGAATAATTTTCAATTTGAGTTGGTTTAATAATTCTATTTTTTACTCCTTTTCCAATGTTTCAATCTTAATCTTCATATTTCAGAACCTACATATGTTCTTCCTTTCTCTTTATTCTTGCTCACCTTCTTGAATTCTTTCTCCAATATTTTTTTCTTTCTCCAAAATTTTATTTTTCACCTTCTTTCTCCAAAAATTTATTAGTTCAAGTGTTCAATAATATTTTTAAGATTCCAATAGTTCTATACTTCTATTACTTTATAAAAAATGTAGTATAGTTTTCAAGATTTACAGCAAGAATTTTTAAGTAGACAAGCAACAACTAGATATTTTGGACTCAAAGTGTTCATTCTTCAAACTTCCTGAATCAATAATCGGATAATATTTTTCTAGTATTATTTTTATTTGGTATTTTGTATTTCATTAATTTTACTTCATACATATCATTTAAGTTTTTTTTTTTAAATTTAAATACTTAGGCCTCACATTTGAATTTGGCCTTAGACCTCAAATGCCCCGGAGCCGCCCCTGCACAAGGGATAGTTAAGGACATGCTTATCCCTTACCTGGCATTGAGTATTGCTCTCGCGCTCACTAATTCGATGCTCAAGCTTGATATTTGCCTTGTGCATATCATAGTGCGCGTTACTTATACTTTCCGGGAGTAAGGCAACTGTTAAGCTTTATATCATCATGTGCATCTTTCATATGATGCCCACAAGTGTCTTGTGACATTACCCTCACAAAACATGCTTTCGCTCCACACAATGTAGCACCCAACATTAGGTCAAAGGGCCTTGCTTGATATGTCAAAATTCAAGTCATGCTCAAAGTAAGGCATGGGGTTTCTCAAAATTCCTTTAAGAAATAGCATACTAAAGTGTCTATTCATAAGAAAATAAAGCTGATTTATAGCCTGTTTGGCCAAACTTTTTTTTGGTCAAAAATATTTTTTTGCCAAAAGTACTCTTGGTCAAAAATTGAGGTGTTTGGCTAAACTTTTAGAAGGAAAAAAAAGAGCTTTTTGAGGAGAAACAGAAGCATATTTTGAGAAGCAGAAAAATATAGCTTATCTCCAAAAGCACTTTTGAGAAAAATACATTTAGAAGCAGTTTACAAAACTTGATCAACTGCTCAAAAATATTTTTTAAATTAATTAGCCAATCACAAACTAATTATTACCTAAAGTACTTTTTAAAAAAATACTTTTGAAAAAACACTTTTCAAAATAAACATATTTTAGAATCTTTATTAATTATAATCCTTGAAGCACGAAAATGCAAAAAAATCGAAAAAGGAAAAAAGAATGCCAAAAAGAGAGGAAACGGCATCCAATTGCCTTTGAAAACCCTATAATATAATGCACAAGCAAGAAGTGAAACGGAAATTGAAGAAACAAAGTCATGGATTACTCCGCTCAATACCAGTACCAACAGCCGGGGGTTTCTCAATCTACCGATCCTCCTCAAATCCAAGCATATGCATATGATCAATCAACATATGGTCAATACCAACAGGGAGCATCTCGATCTGCAGACCCTTCTCAATTTCATCAAGCATATGATCAATCAACAACACAAGCTTCTTACTATGCATCATATCAATACAATCAAGATTACAATCAACAACAATACCCATACTCCTATTATCCTCAACAAGACTATTATTCAAATGCTGCCTATCAACAACAACAGCCTGAACCCGAACCCGAACCCACTTCAATTCACCCACCTGGGGTTCCAATTCCACCACCGTCTTCTTCGGATCCTTATGCCTCCACACAGCAGCAGCAGCAACCCCAACCGCAGTATTCGTATTATCCTCAACAACAGCAACAAGGAATTAACTACGGCGAGGTCGCTACTGTGTCAATGCCCATTGTGTCCTACACACCTGCGGTATGAAATTTCTTTTAATGCAATCTGAGTATATTTGATTTTAGGTTTTTCTTATTTTGATTGGTAAACTTTCAATTTAAGTATAGCAAAAAAATAGCCAGATGCCACTTGTGGGATTCCACTGGGTTGTTGTTGTTGTAGCCAGAAAAAAAGGTGTAAGATTGTGCTTGATATGTACAAAAGCTGATTACAATTATATATGAGTCATGTTGCTAGTCCAGTGGTACTTAAAAAATCTAGCATTTTATCAACTTTACAAGATCCAAATGATGCCAAAACGATAATCACGATTTGCTGCTTTTACTAGACATTGACATTGTTTGATCAAATATCAATTAATCGCGCTAGGATAAAACGGTGTTAAGTGTTAATTATGAAAATTGTTTCTTTTGTTGCTTTCTATATGCAAAGAGCCTCTGGAGTTAATTGTATGTATTATCATTTTCAGAGCATGAATTTTCGTTTTAAAATGACTACACTTTGCTGGAGCTCAAGCGCAATACTTTTTGGTCCTGAAATTGGTTCAGAATGTTCATATTTCAAATTAGGAGGTTATATCACTGCTATTTATGTAACAGTTTCAGTTTTGGTTTCATTTGAGTCATTTCATAGTCAGCATAAGGTAATTCTCTTATGCCCCGTTTAGAATTTACGCCATAGAAAATGTTATTCAAAAAATTAGGAATTGTTCGAACAAGATAAGGCTAAACAAAACCATGCAGACAGTTGAGTGATGTTACTGATCAATAATTTTTTTCTTGCCAAAATTTTAAATGAAATCACTGCTAATTGAACAAAAAGATTTAATCCCTAGAATTCAAGAAAGAAATTTGAAAATATCACTTATGAGAATGGGAACCTTAAGATTTATTGCAAATACATAAATTTTCACGCACCATTGATGACGCTTAAATTACTAATTTTTAAAGTGTTCTTAGCGAATTTGAGGACTATATCGATGAAAGCATTGGCGGCATCATTAACTGGTAAAATTTTCCTTTTCAGTTGGTATGATTGGTTGTCTTTCGAGTTCATTTCTCACCATTAATGTCAAACCCATAGAAGATCTCTAGTACTATGTACGGTACAAGTACTATTGTGGCCGTCATCGTCTAATGTCTATGCACTTGAAAATTCATTTCGTGACTAAGAATCCATCGAAGTGTAAATTGATTGAAGGACTAAAGTTTGTAAGTGATTTATAAGAGGTTGTTGCCTTTATCTCATCATGCAGTTGAGTCAATAAAGTCAACTAATACCTTAAAGGCTTAAACTCCATGAAAAAATAGAATTGTTTACATGAATTAGTACGGAGGGAGCACCTTAACATTGTCTTAAATTTGATATGTCGTTTTTTTTTGCAATTTCCACATTGTCTAATTATTGTTCGCTTATAGCTCGATCAAACTCTGATGTAATAGCTCATCTGGCCTGTTCTCTTTCATTTATATGAATAGTCAACTTGATTGATTAATTTGGGATGATCGGAGTAGTTTACTTGTTGAAATTGTAGCTCTTTTATTTTTATCAAAAAGACAGGGACCGAAGGACAGTAAATCTATATGTGAATTTTCCTCTGTAACATAGTAAACTTCATTTTGTTACTACATTTTTTTGGGTAAAACACAAGCTATACTACGATTCTCTAAGCATTTTTCCCTGCAAGTTTTGCTTAGACCTTCATAGCACCAGCTATTTGGTTACAAATGAAAACACTCTGATTATTTAACTGAACTGCTTGAGCTTGGTATATTTGAAATTGATAACAAGGCTAAGCTTCCTGCCAGAAGAAGCGGAGTGTGAGCAGGTCTGCAATGACTTTCTGCTCAGCTAATTATACATGATCTCTATTGTACTTCACCTGCTTTATACCAGCTTTGTTTAGGAAATGGGTAAGATCATCTCTTGATTGAGAAACAACAGTTTCCTGTCAAAGACTGTATAAACCAGCATCTTTAAAGGATATAATTAGCTGAGCAAACAGCCTGGTCACACTCACCTTCTTTATTAAAAAAAGGTGACCTTGAGCTTCAACTACATGTCATGGAATTAGCTCAAGGTTGCATTTGAGCTCAAACCAGCTTACGGATTGTTACAATGTCAATCAAACCAAGCTCGAACAGCCTGTTATGATGGCTCAATTTAACATGGATCTATCTTTCTACTTAAAGTTACTTTTCTCCTTTGCAGAAATGCTTAGTCACAAGAGTTGGGATCCCCTGAAGATTTTGCTGGTTTTGATATGGTACAAGATCTCTCTAATTCGAGAGAAGTACACATCTCTTTTATTCCTTTGATATTTCCTCCTCCCCAACTCACAATTTTGTTGGGTGCTTTGTGTTTTTGGGTGATTTTCACCTCTAGTTAGATCACTCCTGAACGAGTAAGAGGAGATTTCATTAGGTTAGCCCCTGGATCTTAAAACTTTTAAACTATAATAAAATTTATCATATCTAATATCAAGCACTCTCATAATTTTTATTGCCACCTTTAAATCCATGACAATGAGAAGTTTTAATAACCCTGAACAGTTGATAAAGTACTTTTGGCTTTTCGGTGCAACATACAAGATGTGAAGGATGAAGACAATAACTTAAAGCTCATTAGCTCGCTATAGAAAACGGGGATTTTTGTACAGATGAGGTCCCTTCTTTTTGTTTTTTTATAGGAGGATCAACCTATGTAATTGACAAGCACCACCTTTTTTTGGTTGTTTGTATTAATAATAAAATCCTTACTTACCATTTTAAAAAAAATGTATATCAAACTAATGTACCTGCCTAACTGTATCTATGTTTTCGAAAAGTTGATGCAGCATTTCATAGACAGTTTTCATCTATTTTAACATTTAATAGGCCACAATTCCCTCCAATATAATTATTTTCCACTAGTCAAATGTGACCATCTAGTTTAACAGATCACTTTCTCCTTCCGAAATTGATTGTCGACTGCTCAAAATTTTCTTTCAACTGGTCCCAAGTTTTTGTCCCAAAGTGAAAGGTAAGTTCTATAGAATAATTATAAGATTAACAATATTATATGGGATTGAATGTTGGCGGCTAAATTCTATTTCTAACACAGAGTGTTGCAGAGATGTGGATGCTAAGATTGATGTGTGGTCATACAAGATTAGTAAGATTAAAAATGTCCATATTCGGCAGAAGGTGCAAGTATCACACATTAGGATAAAATAAGAGAAGGTTTCTTGAGATGAGCTGGTCATGTCCTACGTTGACCTTCAGATAAATTGGTGGTAGGTGCGAAACCATGGTTAATAAAGGTGTTTACCATTGCAACTATCCGGTTCAATTCTATCAATAACATCTTTATCTATCATTCCATTTTCTTGAAACAACGAGCCTAGATATCTAAGTTGTTTGTATTTTGGCACCACAATCTGGTCTAATCTCACTTCAACTTTGCTCTTCTCATGCTGACTAAACTTGCGGTGTATGTATTCAGTCTTACTTCTACTTATCTTAAAATCCTTACTCTCTAAAGTGTTTCTCCATAGTTCAGCTTTTGATCGACACCCTTGCTGGTTTTGTCAGTTTATTAGCAGACGTGTTAATTAGTATGGTGGGGAAAATATGCTAACTATTTTTAAGCTCTTAAGAGATTGCCATTTGATATGTTCGTAAACGTATTCTTTTTGGGTCTTTTATCATTTGCAATATGGAGTTAGATATTGTACTTCCACATTCCGTTCACAGAGCAGACGATTTTTTGGGGTGAAATTTAAAAGATTATTCTGATAAAGAGTTGCTTGTTGGTGTAGCCTTAAGTTTTCAATGGATGCTAGTGATGGCTGCTGGAATATGATATGCATATTATATATTAGAGGAATAAGAAAATGGAAGAGAATGTTGCTCTCCATCCTTTACCATGGCGAAATTATCTTGCAATTGCTGGAGATGGCTAGCATTTGGGATCTGGTTTCTGTTTTCTGCTTCCCTTGGCCTTTTAACTCTCATTAGTGATTAGAAACACTTATAGCTATGTTAAATTCCTTTAACTGCAAGTTAGTCCATCATTATCTCTGGATCAGTATTTCATTTTTGTTCATTTTTTTTTTCTGGGGGGCTGGGAAAAAGAAGATGCATGCACAAGCTCATATATTATCAAGGCTCTCTTTGCTTATGCACAACACTATGTCAAGCGTGTAACATCTAGAAATGGTATCTCTCCGGTCGGTCTCATGATCGGGTCAGTCAAAACTTTGTTTGTAATTCCAATGAATTTATACTTTCCATTATTATAGACTTCTTTTTCTGTTCCAGTAATCCACTTGTATTAATTGGTTTTACATCATGGCAGGGCTTGCCTTCTGAGATACTGATTCCAAATATTTATTTTGTCAATTTCTCTACCATTCCTTCAAACAGCTCTTCTTGGTTACTTCATGTCTTCTGCTGCTCATATAATATCATGCTTTTCAATTTGCTTTCGTCTAATTTTGGTGTTTTCTTATTTGAGATGATGAAACTGGTTCTTTTGGTGTATAATGACTGTTTTAACTTACAATCGGCATTGAGCTCTCCATCTGATCCATTGATGTGAAGATACCAAATCTTTGAACATTATTTGTATTCTGCAGATTGTACAATCCCCATATAGAGGTAGAGGTAAAAGGGGTGGCAGATCATATAGAGGAGGTGCCCATGGCCATCTTGGTGGTGGGCAGCTACAACCTAGCTATGACCAACCAAATTCTTTTCAAGGAGCATCACAGATCCAAGGAGACCCATCCCAAGTTAAACCTTCATCATCTGCCTCAGGTAATTCAGGTTCTGTTCAGCCACCTCCGCGTATGGCTTGGTGCGAACTCTGTAGGGTTGAATGCAACACGACTGAAGTTCTTGAACAACATAAGAATGGAAAGAAACATAAAAAGAACCTAAAAGCCAATGGAGGGCAAGGTCACCAGACAGCAAATTTCGACTTTAAGCCAAATGTTTATTACCAGCCTGAAGTTGGGGGGGCTGGGCAGCTGCCACAGGGGCATTTGCCTTCTGAGGTAGTAACTGGAAACAGACAGTCGCAGCCCCAAGAGAATTTTCCGTCTCATGCTGCTATAGAAGATGGTAGTATAACAGGGAAGCAAAAGGTTGAAGAGGCAGCTCTGGTGGAAGAATTAGCAAGAGATTTGGGGATGGATCGTGTTCAAGGTCAAGGGCGTGGACTCAAGCGCATGCTAAAAGGCGGGCGAGACGGTAAATTGATGAAATTGCATAATGGCTCAAGAAAACCTGTTGTGCCTCCTAAGCCCAAAAAAATGGTTCCTTTAATATGTGAACTCTGTAATGTGACGTGTGAATCAGTAGTTGTTTTCCAAAGCCATCTGGCAGGAAAGAAACACCTTTCAAATGTGAAGGACTTCCAAGGCCAACAAGCAATGGTTGGCCAAGCTGCTCTCCAAGCACTATATCCTGCTTTGCAAGCTCTTTACCCAGCACTTCAGGCACTATACCAACCTAATACTGGTGCATCAACTTCCACGGCTCCTCAAGGTCATCAGCCCAACCTTCTTGAAATACTGGGGATGTTGACTCAACAAGCCCTTTCTGCTATACCTCAAGATCAAGTATTAGGTATTGGATTGCCTCCATCTTCAGATTTAGAGGCTCAAGACCACCAAGGTTCCATATTACAAGGTTCAGTATCAGAAGAAACGAGAGAGAATGTTGCTGCGGAGGATGGAAGAAATTGTGACCTTTCTGTTTTACAGAACTCTGGGTCTAAACCAGAAGAGAACACTGATATCAAACATGAAAATGTGAACTTACATTTTGATACAAAAAGTCATGTCGGTTGAAGAACCATTAAGGAATGCTGCTAGCTAGACTGTGCTTTCTACACCAGGAGAAGTGGTTGCATCTGTGTCAGTTTCAAATAGTGAATTAGTGTGATCAGACTGCGCTGCCCATTCTTGTTTAGATGTGAAATTGGTTGACCAGAATCGTTAATTCTTCAATAAGCTAATGAAGGCGGGCAAGACTGCAAGAGAGCTTAATAGATGTAGTTTAAGTTTCTCTTTTGGAGAAAGTGAACAACATTGTGAAACAAATAAGAAATACTGCTTCTGGTGAGGCAGGAGGAGTATCCTAGAATAATATAGTTGAAGCGGTGTTGTTCATTCCTTTTCCTGACTCTTGCCATAAATGAAGATCTAAAAACATTCTGAACCTTTTCAGCCAACCATTACATTTCGTATGATGGCTTTGGATTCGTAACTAGGGCGTGAAGTCTTGCATTTCTTGTTTTTCTATTGATTTTGGGATGTTGATTTATAGTTTCATGTCATCAGGATCTCCATTCTTTAGAAGTCACTTGCACTTTCTCCCAGTTCATCCCTTACCAAATAACACCACTTTCATATTGAGAAGGTAACACTTGCTATGCATGGCTACTTTGTCGAATAACAGTTACTCTTATTTCTTTTTCTTTTTATCGATAACCATGGTGTTGCACATATATGAGTAACTCTACCCACCCATGCTTAGGTTTGGAAAAAAATCACCAAGCGACTGTCTGGATCTGAATCTTGATCTCCTATGGCTTTCACATATTTCATTAACGATACTCCATATCCGCGAGTGCAACTCCTTTTTTTTTCATTGATTAATTGCAGCTGCTCCAGTCAATTGCCAGTTCTGTAAGGTAACACTCATCAGATTGACAATATTCTGGATCAAAGATTTTGGGATTAGGCCAATGGACCAACTCTAGGACATGGAGAAGCTATAATACATTCAAGAATAAAAGCCAGAAGTATCGAGACATTGAAGGTTTATCTTAGGGACTAAAGCAATAAAATACTCTTCCATCTAGTTGATAGGATGGACGTAGATGATGTCCGAAAAGCTGGTCAAGTTTTTGTCATTGGTCTTTTGATTTCCAAATTTTTTTATCGTCAGTAAATTGAGGACATGCAAATTTGGTGGGGGTGGGGGTGGGCCGGGGGGTGACGAGTTTATCCTTCTCTAGTTTGTTCCATTTTTCTGTCTTTTAGTTTCGATTTCCAATACTCAAACATATTGCATCGGTAGTGAGGTAAAAACAGTATTTGTGAATATTGAACTTAAGTATTTCTCTAAGGATTCGTGAAGTTTTTCTATGCAATTGCGGGTCTATTATTAGCTCTTATTTGTGATGCACAACTTTTCGGAATATAGACCGCGATAATGATAATAGTTTCGGATAGAAATGAGGGAGTAATATGTATTTCTCAATCGAGCTTTCAAAGACAAAATCGTTGCATATTCTGCAAATTAACTTCAGTATTTGAAATATTGTTGAAATATTGAAAAACTTGTTTGATGAGTATTTTAAGTAAAATAAATAATTTTCAATCATAAATTTTTAATTTTTTTTCAATTTAAACTTTCAAATGCTATATCTCCAACGTTATCTTCAAATATTCATTTTTTTCTTCAATCTCAAGCAAGTATTTTCCAAACACTTATAAATGCCTAGCTGTTACCTGTTATCCCCTATTATATTTCTTTTAGTTTGCAATGTTCTAGTATATTTGTCATGTATTACAAATATTATATCCTACATAATCTCGCTTTTTTATAAGCTGAATTTCTTTTATAATTTCAATAACATAAAATAATACTGTAATGTTCCTAAGCCGAGGGTCTTACGAAAATAACTTTTTTGCCTTCTTGAATGTAGGGGTAAGGTCTGCGTACATTTAGCCTCCCCAGATCTCACTTGTGAGATTATATTGGGTGTGTTGTTGTTTGTTGAAAATTATACTGTAATGTATTACTAGATTTTTTGACTTTTTCCCACCTAAGGGGATGACTAAGTGATTTGGTCATAAGAGTAACAATCTCAAGATTTTGAGTTTGAATGTTAACTTCAACACAGTGTAAACTAATATATTTCTTTGGATTGATAAATTACTTATTGTGGACTATAGTAGGCTACCTATAAATAAAATGAGGAAGTACAAGTTGATCTAGCCATCAATATCAAAAAAAAAAATTCAACTATCATTCATTAACTTTTCATTTAAATTAAATTTATCTTCACGTAATTAAGAAAAATAAATTTAAAGAATTTTCTTCGTTTGGCTATAACTAATATTATAGTATTTGCAAATACTAGTTTAGTTACTAAACCTTTGTATTCGAAATATTGGAATTATTTAGAAAAAATTAAAAGTATTTCAAGTAAAATAATATTTTTTAGTTAAAATCTTTAACTTCTTGTCAAGTTGAAGTAATTTGTTTTAAATTTCAATATAAAAAAGAAAAGAAAAGCCAGCAAATAAGGAAAAATCTCTTACAGGAACCGCAATTGTTTCCGCTGTGGTCGTCGTCTCTCTCTCTCTCTCTCTCTCCCCCCATGATCACCGCTGCAACTACTACTGCAACCATCTGAGAGAAACTTCACAGAAAAACTCATCTTTTTAAAATAATGATGCACAAATCAAACTATAATTTCCCTTTTCCTCAAAAATCCATCGACAGTTCAAAACAGCAGCTAATTGATTCCCTCACATCCCACATTTCTCTCTACAATTCACAAACCCCTCCATCTCCAAATCATAACCCTAACCCTAGATCATCTATCCTCAAATGGTTCTCTTCCCTTTCAATTCCTCAACGGCAAGCTCATCTCACAATCGTTCACTCCAATTTCCTCCAAGTCCTTCTTCAAATGCTTACTAAAATCCAATCCAACGGTCATGGTTCCTTCATCATCCTACCCGATATGCCCTCCTCCGACGGCTGTGATCTTCCGAGCATTTGCTTCCGCAAGTCTCACGGGTTATTAGCTCGAGTTGCTGAGTCGAACGAGTCAGAACGGCGAGTTCGTCACTCGGTTCGGCTCTTCAGCTCGAAAGAAGGGGAAAATGGGGTTTCGGGTTTATTGGATTTTGTTGATTCTTTGACTGTAAGTGAGGAATTTGTGGAGAATGTGGATAGTTTTGCGAATGCAATGGATGGCGTTACAAATGGGATGTTTTTGAGGGGGGAAGAAAGTGGTGGGTTGAGCTCAGAATGGGTGGAATTGGGGTGGTTGAAAGCCAAAGGGTATTATAGTATCGAGGCTTTCGTGGCAAATAGGTTGGAGGTGGCATTACGACTGGCGTGGTTGAATCATAATAATAATAATGGGAAGAAGAGAGGTGTGAAATTGAAAGATAAGGTGAATGCTGTAGGTATAGGAGCCAATGCGTTTTGGAGGAAGAAAGGGTGTGTAGATTGGTGGGGAAAGTTGGATGAGACAATGAGGGTGAAGATTTTTCGTCTCGGCTTAGGAAAGGCTGCAAAATCACTGGTACTACTTTTATGTTGAGCCTTTATTTTTCACCTAGCAATTTAGTCTTTGTTTGTTCTTTGGTGCTACATTGTTGTATTCAATGTGCTACGAGTTCATTTAGTGAAATTACAATTTGTTTGAATTTGTATATGTGGTGGCATTTCCATTCATGGATGTCAAAAAGCTGAATTTTCCTCTCCATTCATGGATGTCAAAAAGCTGAATTTTCCTCTCTAATAGGAAAGAGATAATGGCATGGACTTTGGAATAGTATATAGCTTGTTAAATGGAAAGTACGCATTTCAGAGTCCGCAAGAATCTATCTGAACAGTAAGTAGGCTAAGATCTGTATCAAGAAATAAGCTGAGATGTAAAAAAGAAATTCAAAGTAATGCCGGGTATCCCTCTTTGATTTGGAAAAGCAAAAGAGTATAAAAGGCAGGCATTTGTGAGCGAAGAATTAACTAAACTATCAAATCATGCAACTTTTAAACTAAGATGCTTCTCTGTATTTCCATAGAATAGAGTAGGGGTTTATATATGTCCACATCTAAGCATTAGCTTTGGTTCTTTTTTTTTTTTGACAAGAATAAAAAAAATTACTTTTTTGCTGTGTATTTTTTTGCTCGAAAGGACAATTATTTTATATTATCTCAAAGCTGAAGAAGTACAAGGATTTGTTGTACAAGTAGTAGTAGTAGCATCAGTACATGTATATGCTTCTAACAAAAGTAGTTCTTAGTTCGTCTGATCTAGTGTTTTTGAGACAATAAAGGAGGAACTGCAATAACTATTGAACTGCTATATGTCCTTCGTTGCAAGCTGCTTCCATACTTGGCCAGTGCCTCTGGCTACCTTATTTTGTTCTCTATAGCCGTGGTATCTCTGGTTCACGTAGCGCTCAGCGTAGGCAAAATGTATAATATTAGAAAATAATGCATTATAGCTGCAAGTAATTTAATATAACATACCAGTCATATTTGTTTGATTTTGGTTTGATATACTTCCATAAATCATATTTTTTCACAAATGGCAACTATTACATTAATGGTATATCCTTCTAAGTATGTTTCTCATAGCACTCCTATCCTTCCTGACATAGTCAATTAAATGATTGATATGTTAGCAGTTTAGCTATTTAAGCTTCTGATTGTTGGAAGGGTCGTCTATTCTTCCTGCATAGTTTACAGGTGGTCTTCAGAATTTGACACAGGCTTAAGCTGTCCAATCTCCAATTATGTCTTTCAGATTGCTGATACTTTGAAGGGGGCAAGAGGTGTTTCAGCGGATAAAGCTTGCCTATGCAGTTCGGTGCTACAACAACCTCTGGGTAACACTAGTTTGTCTAAACGAAGGAACTTTGTGAATTTCAGAGGGTCAGATGCAGGAGTTTCACAGAACATGTTTCATGCATCAGTGTTTGGAGTTTCATGTTCATTCAACCAGCTACTTGATTGTCTGTTTATGCTTCAGGATTTCTCCACTGTGCTGTTGGCATGTCCGGGTACTGTTGGCGAGTCTCCTGACAGTGGAAAACTATTTTTTAGTTCATTAGAATCTGTTAATACTCTTTCTGATAGTATATTAAGAAAATTACGGGGGTTACTCATGATTATTTCTCTTGACTGTACAAAGTATGAGCTGCTAGAGGACGAAAACTTGAATTCCTTACCAAAGCCAAACAAGGAAATACTTGGTGCTTCTAACCGTAAGAAAAAAGGGAAGAACCGTAAAGTGAAGAAATCAAATCCTTTGCCAAAACCTACTACAGGTGTAAGTCCTGTTAAAAATAGTGAGGTACACTCTGATCTTGAGGACTTTCCATATAAATTCCTTTTAGTAAGAAAAAATTCCTATACCATTTGGTTCTTTACTTTCTTTTAAAAATATATGCAGGATAATGGAGACACATCTGTGTGTGGTGATAATGTGCATAATAGTTCGTCTACTGGTTTGGTAGATAAATTTCGTGGTGATAATGTACATTGTAGTTTGCCTAGTGGATCGGTCGATAGAGTACAACAGAAGGATCTTGATAACGTGAGTCTGC